GCGGCAATATTTAATCTAGTTGAGGTCAGTAATCTCTGGATGTTGATGCACAGTGTCATGCACTGCCTTGTGCATTTCCACATGGGCGATCTGTTATTTTGCAACACTAGAATCTGCATTGGATTTCTTACTCGTTTACCCAGCTCCTCAGGGATTTGGTAAATCCAGCAGTAATTTAAAACTGCCATTCTCTCTGGGTTTTGACACATATGCAGTCAAGGATTAAAATCAGGCTTCTAAAGCAGTTGCCACTTGCAGCCATCTGCCCTGCCTTTCTGACGGAGATCTCCAGTGCCACCACAGTAAGTCTGAAAACCCAGTGAAACAACTCCTGAACATCTCGAGCCTGTTTATCAAGGTGCATAGATCCACTTTGAATTTAATGCTTAGCTGAGAACGGCAGCAGTACAGAAGCCAATTCATAAATCACGCAGCAATCTTTGTCAGAGGTGGGGCAATTACTTGGGCAGCACCCATCTGATTTTATTCTGCTTCTCCATGTGAATGAACTCTTGGACTTCACCAATGTTTACAAAGTAGTAAATGAGAATCCTTCCAAAAGCAATTGTTCCAGAACAACAGGGCTACTTCAGATGCTTTGCAGACTATTATTTTACCGAGTGTTTTACAGACTCTCAGGTTTTGTTGGTTACAATTTTTTTTTTTCACTGTTTTAAAATTTTCACAGCCACAAATGAAGGAGAAATGAGGGTTTGCTGCACATCTCCCTTTGAACCCCAATAAGAATTGTGGTAAGACACTGTCTCCACATTGGAAAAAATCCCTCTTTAAGACACCTGAGTGCAATTATATAGCAAAATCAGAAGTATTATATGGCAAATTATGTAGGTGCTTATTTACATGTTTTTATTATACAGAGTGAACAATCAAAGTAGTTGTTGATTTTAAATGATAAACTTTTATTCTGAATATACTGTTTTTGCACAAGAATTAACACAACAGTTCTAGGATTATAAACTTTTTATAACATTATTGTACAAATTTTTACAAAAAATTATTTTTCCAGGCTTGTCAAGTTCCACAAAAGTGTCAAGAGAACACAAGAAAAGGGAGAAAGACCTGCTTGCCTTGTAAGAGCAACAAAGTCTTTTTTTGCAGAAACGCACACTGAGCATTTCAATAAAAATATCCCAGAAAGCATGATCCAGACATTCCATACAACACAAGAGAAGACAGCTTTGTCAGATCACATTCGCAATTTCATGGCATCTGAACAAGACAGTATCCCTTTAGCCTCAGTGAAATTATTTCTTCAAGATGATGTTTTTCTTTTAAATGATAAACAGGACAGATGCAAGTAGCTGGGAAGAGGGTGAGGCTAACTTCAAAACTCTTGAATTGTTTTGAGACACTTTGTTTTAATCTTTTTACAATAGTGTACAATGAGTATTAACAATATTAACATTGTGGTATGAAAAAACCAATAATAAATCTGGCCTTTGTTAAAGGCTTGGATGTCTGATGGAACTAGGGTAAAAATTATCCTAAGGAAGGAGTTATTAAGATCTCACCTTCAGTCAACATTCCGAAAACACCCAAGTGCGTTGCAGTGCCTTGTAGGCATTAACATACTTCTTAATAACCAGTGTGCTAGCAACTGAATTTTTAGGACCACTGGGACTGAGGTTTTGTTTTGCAATTAAGACATATTAAGCACAGTTTTCTGAGCTTAAGTGTTAATGGGAACAAAAGATCTTAATGTCTCTTCAGTGATATCGAAAAACTCTCAACCACAGCAAGTAACACTTGGGTTGCAAAGGTCACTTAAAAGGGATACTGCCTATTTGAACCCAGTAAGGCCAGTTTTTAAGTTAGTAAAAGGAATATTATAGGAAAACTTACAAATGGCAGCAACACTGTTTTTTGTCAAGTTAAGCAGTAAAGCCTCAAGCATAAAAATATGAAAAAGAGAATACTAAAGTCTTAAAGGTACAAGACCTAAAAATCTTGTCAATCAAACCTGCTATGTCATGTTAAAAACCTGTTACAAATATGGACCACGGTCAGTGTTTTGGCAGTAATGCTGGTTGTTTAAATGAAAAACTAGAAAGAAACCTTTCATGTTAAGTCCTCAAATCATGGTTTGCACAGTACCATGCTGTAACAACTTTAATGGTGGTTATTTGTCAGACGTACAATAGGCTGCATGACTTCTGTGTAAACTGAAACCATCCCAACAGTTCCCTTAGTGTTATTGAAAGGATCTGAGCAAATATCAACAGAGCTTTTTATCTGGCTTTTAAGAATACCCCTTTTACAACATATCGTAATTTGAAAAATTTCTCAGTTTAAAGCCCAGGATCAAGTTTGTTCTCTCACAGACAAGAGAAGATGATTATTATGCATTATGTGAGAGTAAGGATACTCTTCTGCATGAGAATATGCATTTATTCATGCAAGTTATTTCTAACAGACTGGCATTCACTTTTTGAGATAGCTAAAGTTTGCATTGCATTTTCTGTGTTTTGTAATTTGCAGATATCTAGGTAGTGCATTTTAAAAAATCTTGCCCACTATTTGGATATAATCAAAATATATATTGCTTTCTGCAAAAAGAAGCCAAAATTTCATTTTTTCCTTTTTAAAGTATTGAGCTCTATGGGAACAGTACTAAGCCCTTCTGGGAGGGCCAGATCCTGAGTTTTCAATCAGATGGGTATGATGGCTGGAAGGCTAAGTGTTTATACAGAAACATGTTTCTTCAGGTTATATAGAGAGGCAGACAAGAGGAACAAAGGACATTTCCCTCTTTGAATAACCCATGAAGGCTAACGTGTCTGCACGGCATGGGCTTCTCCCTCCTTTTGTATTTGAGCACTCTAAGGGAAGTGGGATGAGAGCAAAAGTCACGGTTGTTTTCTGTGGCAGCATGGCTTTGTGCCACCTTTCTCTCTGCCTACAGACTCTAATCAAATGTTTATTAAGTAACTCAAAATATGGCCTACCAGTGCAAGTAAATTGTTCCAAAATGTTAAATAATGTCACTTTTCCATGAATGGTTTCTTTTGGGAAGCTAAGTGAAAACCATAGAGAATTTACTTAATATACTGACAATCTTTCGAGAAATAAAAAGGGCAAAATGCAAACTAATATGTATTTTAAGTTATTTTAGAGTAAAAGCTATGACTGTAGTAAGTATTGGCCTAATCCTACAAAACTTGTTCCTCCCATAAAATTGACCATGTTAAGGGAAAATACAGGATGCAGTCTCAGCACTAGAAAGACCCAAACCAGTTTTTTATCAGGTAGTAACTGGCGATAGGGTGAAGAGAAGTGCAGTAATATGACTGGAAGAAAGCTCCAAGATTACCTTCACTCATATTACCAAAATTAACTCACCTTCCCTGAGGAGGACCTGAAGTCATCCAACACAGTTAATTATACTTTTAACCCCATGACTTTACTAGAGATATTTTAAAAAGCTAAATCTGATCATTGAACAAAAGGTCAGGTTTTATTTTTTTCACGCACTGTATTCCCAAACATGAGAAAATACATAGTTGGAGCCAAGGTACATGAGAAAAACAACAAACCAGCCATGGGTACAACTACAGTAGACATCTGATCTTTTAAGCCGTGCCATGGCTTTGAGTAGCTTCTTCAGTTTTCATAGGATATTAATGCATGCCCAATTATTTCTTTAAGCTTTTGGCATGACCAAAATTATATCAATCAATTGTCAGCATATACATACCAATGCTTACATTTTCTTATTTTTTAAAGAGCTAGAGTATTGTGCCATGTTAATATTTGCATATTGCAGTTGTTAGCAGAATTGTACAATACCAGCAGATTTGCACATTCATTGGTTTAGCTGTCTTGCAATACTGTTTAGTTCTGAAAACTAGAAAAAAGCGCAAATCATATTTTGCATCAACACTATGCTACACTGTAATATTGTAATTTACTGCACCAATCTGTACCACCAATGAGGCTTTATAAAAACAACTAAAATTATTATTCACAATCAAGTATCAATGTGCATACATATAGATTCAAGGCTCCCCATTTGTTTAGATTTTTTCTAATCTCAGCAACCAGGACATTTTGCTGTTAAATATGCTATTTTCAATAATAAATAGTAACAGCAGAAGTTTTAATATTATTCGTGTTTTTATATGAAGGAAACAAAGGGGGAACCTGATATGAACCTCAGAGAACATATACTTCCAAAAATAAATGTGTTAAATCTGATTTTTATATACTTAAAATATCTGTACACAGGTTTTCATGTGAGATCATTATTCTGTAAAAAATCCAACTCAACCCTTTTGTTACGATAGCTAAATTTACCCTATTTTTCTCAGCTTTTTCATTGCACAGTATATTCAGAGCTCTGTTTCATAATATAATTTAATATGATTTGATTGCAATACAATCCAATGTTCAGTTTCTCACACAATAAAAGAATCACTCAGTTACCTTTTCAATGGACTATACTCTACCATCAAAGAAAACAAACTGAAAAACAATAACATAGCATCATCATCATGCAAAATACCCTTGGAAACCAACGTTCAAATATCACAAAGACATTTTTTATTCACAAGCGCTTTTGTTTGAGCTTTTGAAGGATTCCACTAGCTTTATATATAACTGCATTGTGAAAAGGAGGTGAATATTACATTGAAATTAATATTTTTCTGACAGAAGATGACACCAAGTTTAAGACGAGAATCACTTTTTAGTTAAACTCTCAAGCACCTTCATATTTTTAGAAACAGAAGTTTCTTTTCTTCCTTCCTTTAAACTAACAATTTTACAACTTACCAAAACTTAGCTGGCTACATGATTCATTTCAGAAGAATAAACCATGCATTATAAAGCATTTCAATCATGCTGAACTTCTGATGAAGACTAGCCAATATTTTCATTTTACTCAACTAGTTTGGATAAAACTGATGCTTAAAGCAGCCAACATAGTGCTAGTAATGGATATTGGGGAGTACGTTTATTTTTTATTTTTCTTTTTTTTTTTTTTTAAAATAACTGTTCATGTAAAAGAATATAAATCTTCAAGATATCCAAAGCTTAAAAGAAATGAAAATCATATACATAAGCTATTGTCAGGGGAGCCCTTTTACATGAAGTCATCAAGATTACGACAACAAACAAACAAACAAAATAATTTTAGATTCCCCAATGGAGCATGTACAGAATTCTGTTTGGATGGCATAGATGATGCAGCATTCACACACGTTTAAGGATCTGACACTCCAACATGCAGCCACCGTGGGTGCCTTCATGAGTCTCACAATGAGTGATAACCAGACACAAGCACTGCTGTTCTGCTGCTGTCTGAATAGCTGACCCTTTTTAAAATGAAACTGAGGCTATCGTTTTGGCCGGGTCTTGATTAAGTTATGCAGGTTTTGGTTTAGCAAGGTCATAACTGGCAGTGTCTGCTGCCAGATAACAGCCAAAGCAGGACCAACTGAATTCCTACCATAGACCACAGTGATGGACTCAGACCAGAGACACCACCGCAGTCGGCCGAATCTTCCTGTTGACAAAAAAAGAAGGAATCATTTAATATTAATGACAATTAAATTGCCTGAGAAGTAATCTACATTTTAGTCTTCAACATTTTGAACTATGCTTTTGGTCTTATATATGTTATTTTGCCTAAAATAACAGCAAAATAATTCCTGGAAGTTTGCCTGATTTTTGATACAAAGAGTGGCATTACTACATTAACTATAACCATGGGAGGATTAAATACTTACAAGGCTTACTGCAGTCAGTTAGTAACTAGATGGGATACTTATACAATCAAACAAGAAATGCTATGGGAGATACCTGGGGGGCCCAGTAAACCACATCTATATTACTTAAAACTACATCAGTTGGAGATTTTGAGTATCCCTTTATTGTGAGGAAAGATGGAAGAACAGATAACTTTTCAAGATTAAAAAACAAATATCAGAATATGTTCATGTCCATTTCATCAACATGATCACACATTAAAATGAATATGCTCTGCAGGTGAAGATATGATCAAAGAGAATCCAAAGCCTTTCTCTGTCTCTGATGCCATATTCAAGTACCAAATTTTCTGTTGGCTTTTTGTATGCATTTGATGCAGCCTGTAGAGAAGACACCCTCCAGTTTGAGGGCTCGCTCTGAGCTGCGCCTCTCCATCACACATCAGTGAACCCAACTATCCATTATGCCACACAGCAATCATGTCTCTTTTCCCCACTCCTCCTTACCATTAATTGCTGTTATATGGTCCCACTTTGCCTATAATGCATAGTATCTTTCACATTATGGACTTATTCGGTACTCTGGTTGAAACACATTCAATACCTGTTCTGGAGTCTGTAACGTCTTTACACCTTCTTGTTTCTCAGGACTGATATAATCAATGTTTAGCTGCCTAAAACACCATGACAGTGTTCCAGCCATCCCCTGTCCTGCTCTGTACACCAAGTCTGAGATTCATGGGTTGCTCTGAAGGCTGAAAATATTTGGTTTTCCTCTTGTTTTCACTGTATTCTGTACCCATAGCATAAAAAGACACTTTCTATTTTCCAGGAGATCTCAGGTCTCCAAGGACAAGACAACAGTGTAGGTGGGAAGGGACATATTAGGCATATTAGCCACTGGGGAAACTTCTTGAACAGGAGGAACATGTGCAGGGAAGGACAGACTGTACCTTAACAGTAACAGAGCCCAGCCGCTGGCACAGAAATTGAATAAGTTTTAGAACAGAAAGCAGAGGAAAGCCAATGAGCATGGAACGGCTTCTGGTTCACACTGACATGCCACTGAGGCATATGTAACTAATATTCAATGTGCCTCAGAAAAGGCTGGGGGAGTTGGGGATAAAAAGTACGATCAGGATAAATAAGGAAGGATCATTAAAACACTTTTAATTTATTGGCACGTCCTTAAGCAAAACTTTCAAGCTTCTACACCAATGCTAGGAACAAAATTAAGATGAGGGGAATGAAGACAAGTCATCAATGAAACATCCCAAAATAATACACATATCAGCAACCTGGTGGAAGGAGAATAATCAGTAGGACAGAGCATTGTCAGGCTACCAACTTTGTAAGAATGGTAGTGTAGGACATACAGCAGAAGGAAAGTATGTAAAGGATAATACAAAGTGTAATAGCATAAAAGTATTACAGCAAAAGGAAAGTGTGATGGAATCTCTGTGGGTGAGAAATTTCAAAGTCTAATAATAAAACTGTAATACTAAGATTGCACTGCTGACCACCTGATCAAAGCGACAATATTAATCATGAAATGTTATGTGAGATGAGAGAAGTCACATACAGACTAAATTAATGCCTTATCAAAAAGAAATGTAGAGATCACATTTTTGGATATGGTAAATGACTGCCTTTTGGAATAAACAGTCTTCGAATCTTTCATGGCACATGGGGCCCTCTTCAAAATTATTAGCAGAGAGCTGTTCTGTGTAGCTCTAGTATAGCTCCAGTAGCTCCATAGACCACAATGCAACAGAGTTTAGCATTGTTGTGTGAGAGATCAGGTCAAACAAATCCAAAAGATACCAATTTCAAGAAAGGGAACTAGTTGAAAATTACCAAAAGCAGTTAAAAAGCCCCAAACAACCCCAAAACCAAGAAAACAGAAAAACATCCTTCACAAACAAACAAAAATCAGAAAGCAGAAAAAAACTAGAAGTAGCATCTCAAAAAGCAAGTCCCTCACAAGGACCCAAAAGAATATTTAGAAATGTTGCAGCAGATGTCCAGATAAAATGAATGCCACAATTCGAACAACCACCAACCCACCCCCCTTCCTCTAAAAAAGACAACCCCAAAGCAAAAGAAAGAACACCCCCCCCAAAAAAAAAAACAACAAACACCTCAAAACAAAGCCCAAACCCCCAAACAAACAGCCCTGCATGACTCAGTAGGGAAATGAAGTACACTGTATTAGGGAAAAGGTCAGTATTTAAGAAATCAAGTTTACTAAAATGGGCAAGAACAGGAAAGCATATAAAAATAACAGATTAGATATAAACGGGAAATTAGGAGGGCTGACAAAGAATTTTTGATGATCTCCCTGCAAAATATCCTGAAAATGATAGTAGAAAGTTTTCAATAAATCAAAAGCACGACGCTAAATATGGAGTCAGGGCAACTGATTTATAACAGAGGTGTAAAGAGGGAACTTGGGGATTACAGGGCATAGCAAAGGACTTCAATGAGTTCTTTGTGTCAGTTTTAAGGGGTGAAGACTTTAATGAGATTCCCACCATACACGATGCATTCTTTAAAGCAGAGAGGTCAGAGGAATCAGAATCAGTTTGGAATAAATATACAGAAAATCACATAAAGCAGACAAATTAGACTCAATACGTCATCAGGAATTATAGCATTCACCAACAGTCTCCTTTATAAACGTGGATGTAAAAAAAAACAAAAACAAACAAACCAAAAACCAGTATTCAAGTTCTTCGGGGAAAAAAAAAAAAATTTAAAAAAATCTTTTTTATTCTAAAGCAAATATCTTATGTTAGCTGCTCTTCTTTACTAATAGTAGTCATCTCCAGGCATGTCTCTCTCATCTGTTAGCTTTATAATTTAGTTCTATAATTTTGGTTTAGGTTTTTTTTTTGTAGTTGATTGCACTCCACAAGTTCAAAATTCCTCAGGTTTCCAGTCAACAAGTAAGTGACAAGTGAACTCTGCTGCACCAGATTTGGAGTAGGATGCTAAGATTTGAAGACGCACTGAACTCTCTGGTTTATTTTGTTGGGCTCTGTCACTTTTTGCGTCTGCATTGTGTCTTGTCATGTAGCTTTATTTCTATTCAAAGCACCTAAAAATAACCCTGTTGCTTCTTCCTCACAGTGAGTACTGTCAGAAACAGAATTACCAGTAAAGGTTTCTTCTCACATGAATTCAATGAACAGTATGCAGTGTTACCTCTTGGTATTTAAGATTCTTATCACTGAAATTACTTAGAAAAGTCATCTTTGAAGAAACAGCCTAAAGTAAAGCACGAGGTTTAAAATTTTCCAACAGAGGGGAGATGTCTGGAGAGTAAGTAAGAAGTAAATTGAAGCTCTTAAACAAAACTGCACATAATAATAAGGGGAAAATATCATTATAGTGAAAATGGCATCCAGTATAGATATAGAGTAGATAAGACTTCCACGTATAGAATTATACAGTACTCAGCCTCCATGTCACCTCTGCATTAAACCAAATATTGAGGAAATTATGTTGATGAATTAATCTTACCACTGTATCTACTTGAAAAAAAAAAAAAGTCCTTTCTGTTGCCCATTTCTATTTGCCTTTTGAGATTTTTTTAAAATTACATCACAATTTATGAGCACTGCTTTTACATTCAACAGTTATACTATGTAGAATTTCTATTGGATTGACAAGAAATATTTTAATATTTTTTGCTCTCTCCCTAAGACTACACAAAGCAGTTTTTAAAGGATTCACAACTTCACAACAGTGGAGAATGTCTTGGAAGCCTCATGCAGGAGAGGCATCTTCTTATTATGAATGACAGACTTAAACTGTACTTGACAAAAGTATATAAGGTTTATACACATATTTCAAGGTTGGTGAGACTTTAACTTCATATTGATCAAAGTCACATTGAATTTCTGAGGTTTGTAGACCAATTTACAGTGGTAAACCAGCAGTTCTGCCAAGAAAAATTTCTAAATATTCTCTCTGGAATCAGTTATTCTTTTGTGTCCTAAGCCAAGACAAAAAATAGTAGTGGCAAGGAAGGTACAGTAAATCCTATCTAAATTATTTTTTCCTCCCCAGCATGGCACATTGTAATTTTCTTGTGTGCTTTAAGTGTTGTGAAATTATAAGAAATTAAAAAAAAAAAAAGAGGAGAGAAAGACTGATTTACATAAATTAAAAAAATCAAGAGTTTTATGGAAATGAGTGGGGTCTCATCATTACGTTGGAACCAGATTGAGCAAAACATCAGTTTTGAATGGTCTTCAAAATGTCTTTTTTGAAAACAGTTCCCCTCTTCCTGAGTTTTAAGAAAACTTCTCAGCTGTTTCCTGTAAATGTTATTTTTGAGATTTCTTATAAAATTTCTTAAAATAAATTCCATAGCATCATTTTATCTTATCTTTACCTTACCCTATCTTTACCTCTACCAGAGAAGTTAGACACTGAACTATTTTTAAGCAGTTTCACTGAAATTTTCCAGTCCATTACATTAGTCATTACTATATTAGTTATACAGAAAACCTGAATAACCAACAGGTCAGTTGGGAATGTCCTCTCTTTGGTGTCTTCAAAATAATAGTCTGTATATTATTTCACTTTGAAGAGAGAAAGAATTGGAAAAGAAATTGGAAAGAATCCTCTTTAGCCAGTTTCATTTCACTAGAAGTGTATCAGAAATAAGTCTTGCATTAATAAGTCACATTTCAAATTTCCTTGCATGCTTGAGGTAGAGAAGTGTCAAATCTGAATGTCATCTCCTTCATGTCATGCCTTACTGTGATAACTCTGGAGAGGGTTATTTTACATCACACACTGTGAAAATTATTCAGCACTTGCAGAATGGAAATGAATGCTTTCATGAAACCATATATTAATTGTTAAGTATCAAACCCACATATTCATTGCTATATATCAACATTTCCTTGAAGCCAGTACCAGTCCAAAATTTTAAAGACACACATGGAAATATAAATATACAGATATACACATACATGTCTAAGTCTATGAACATACTTGCTACTCCTTTAGAAGTACACTATTTAATGTACTAAAACTTGGTCTTGAAAGCTTAATCATTTATTAGAACCCATTGTGCTACACTGACTATAAAAAGGATGAAACAACACCTGCCAAAGAGCTTCTGATCTGGCGTTTGATATCAACTAGTTTCCTCAAAGTTATACTTTTTATAAGCATATATTTTAAATGCTTCATATTACATGGAGAACGCTATTGCTTTTACTCAAGAGTGTAATTTCAAGTTCCAATGCATGGTCTTTCATAAATTTTGTGTTACCCTCCTTTGTCTGGACTACCACACAAAGCTGTCAAAGCTGTACAGCTACCCACACATAGATCAGGGATACAGCCAATCCCACCACAATGTATACAGTTGTCTGGGCTCCTAATCACCCTCAAAGCTCCCACTGACATCCCTGGGAGCTGATGGAAACAAGACATTCCCAGAAGGAGCTAAAAGCTTGGAGATTTCTTTTTATTCTCAGGCATGGCAAACAAAACCAGTGTGCATGTACAAAGTAACAGCAAGCTATTCAAGGGAGTGATAAAGACTATTTTGTTATCCTTAAAAAAAAAACAAAAACAAAACCAGCTGCTGTTATTGAACCTGATCAGCTGGTTTGTATCAGTGTTGGCTTCAGTGATTTTAATAAAACTACACAGATTCATGTCCAGTGAGAACCCATTTCCAAAATCACAAAGTTATTAAAAACAGGATGGATGAACAAAATTACCTTTAGAACTTTCTGCTGCCAAAAGTCTATCAGCTAAAATAATATTTCTTGGGTTTCCTGGTATTTTGGTTTGCCTTCTTGAGCAGAAAGACCACTTTGGACAGGAAGAATTCAGCTCAAGGTGAGTCTCTGCTGCTATATGTACATCTGACAGTAACTTTTTAATTAACATAAAGTCATTTGTAGAGCAAATTGCATGAGTAAGAACATAAGATGTTAATTTTCTAGATTTCAATGGGAAATACCACTGGCTTGGGGGAAGGGACTTTTACCCTTCCTTACAACCTTCAGCCATGGCTGTGCAAGTTCCTAGGTTTGCTAGAAATTATATCATTTAAATACAGAATTGGAAACTTCAAAATTACTCAAATATAGCTGTTAAACAGAAATTTAAGCTTTTTTTCACTGATGTTTGAGTGATATTAATTGAACCTTCCCCCAAGTATAAAGAGAACAGAAATTATTGAGAAAATTAATGCTCTAAATTGTTACAATTTTCAATATTTTACTATACTAACTCTAAAAAATTACCTCTAAGTTTCCATTTCTGCCTCTGAGTTGGCTTTACCTTGATAGATATGTTAGTATCTCCCTCTAGTGGTTTTCTGAGTAATAATATCGATCACAAACCCCTCCACAAGGTCATGGATTTTATTCTCTTTAGGTCAGCAGTTCTCTTGCACACATGTCACTAGCACAGCACCACACTCTCACAACATTAAACATGACACAGTCTAAAATGCCAAAGCTTTCGTTATGAACTCCAGAGTCTGCACTAGGTCAACATGCAGGACTTCATGTATCCATGTATTTCCTTAGAAGAAAAAAAACACCTTCTGCTGTAATTAGGAAATGAGTATGTGTAGGTTGCAAAAAATTAAAAAGTAAAAATACAATTTTACTGAATTCGTAGCTTAACCAAATTGATGCACACTTTTACCTTCCACCATTAACATTTGCATTAATTTGAATGCAGTGAAAACTCCCTACTCTTCTCAATAGCAACACTTACTCCTACACAGAACACTCATTCTTGTTATCCCTAAGCACAGCTTTATTTTTACAGGTATTATAGTCTCTTCTAATTACTTTGTACCTTTGTTTGTCTCTGCGCAGAAAATTTTTTTCTTCTCTTTCATTTTAACAGGGACAAGGGAAAAATGTTTTGAAGCGAATGACACTGATCCAGTTGGTACATGTGCAATCTCAAAGAGCCAACCATATAAACCCAACAGGTTCCCGTGTCTTTGTATTTGCTATGGGAGAGGCCCTTGTCTTCTGTAATTGTGATTTATAAGGCTCCAGACAGGGTTTTTTCATATTTAATTTCCCTTAATATTGCAATAATCATTTGCTCCAGATTGTTGCTTTTGGGACTCGCTTCATTCTGTTTCTTTTGTACACTGGGTAAGTAAAAAAGCCTGCTAATATTTAAGCTAAGAACAAAACAAAAAATTAGAGAAAGTAACTGACCATCCACACCACATGAAAACTTGCAGAAAAATGAAGATAGGAGCAGACGTCATGGCAGAGGCACGACTCGTTGTGCATATAGGCTGATCCTATTAATAACGGGCAAAGTAGCAAGTAGAGGAAAGGAAAGAAAACACAGAAAAAAAGACATACAAGATGAGATATCATGCAGATTGCTGGCAGTTAGCAGAGTTAATGTGAAAGCATCCACCCAAGAGCAAGAGATTCACAGCAAATTTTGCAAAGAAACTTAACCAAAACAATCCACTGTTACAAAACACATGACTTACACACCAATTAGCACATCAAGCTAGTGAGCAAGAGTTGCACTTTCACACACAATCGTATCGTGAGGATTTGGAATATTTACAATGGCCAAATAGCTTTTGGACGGTGTTTCAACTTTGTTTAACCTTTGTTGGCCAGTAATAAGACTTCCTTTTTAAAATAAAATTTGGTTACTAGAAAAATGCATTGAATACCAACTGTCTGGACTTTTTTAACACTACTGACATCTCAGTAATTTTGACTCATTAAAGAAAAGCAGAGAATATACTGGAACACAACATCGTATACAGCAGTTATAGCCAACTAACTGCACTAGTTTTGGACAATCTTTCCTTTGCAGAAGTAAGATGAGGCATTACAAATGCATTTTAAAAATATTTATTTTATTTAATGGCAGGTACTTCCCTGTTCAATACTTTTTGTCTTGAAATTTATTCTGAACAACTTGAATTCAACATATTCTCTTTTGTACAGTATTTTGAAAGGAAAGACAGAGAGTATATTCAAAGTAATTTATATATGTGGCACAGCTATAATTTTTCTCCTTCAAAACCATAATGTATACAATGCAGGGAGTACTAAACAGCATAGTTTTACTGATTTCAGTAAAGCAATGCACTTTTACACCTGTTAAGAATGTGACGTAAGGTCACTATACATTCACAGAATTTCTAAGAGGAGCAACATCCTAAACCAGATAGAATGTTTTTAAACATTTAACAACACCTAAAATAATATTTGGACACACTCACATAAAAATACTACTTCTAAACCAGGATTATAATCTATTTGTGAAAGTCATACAAGAACTGGATTTCACAGCACCATACAGAGATCATCAGTTTTATGCTTGCTGATGTTTTTTTTTAAGTGGGAATCATGTGTGAAAGTGCAACAATTATAGGAAAGGCAGATAAGAAAGCAGCTGTTAATTTTATGTTAATTATGGGATAATTGAAATAGAGTGGCTATGGTCTAGAGTGAACAGTATGTTTAGTGATAGATAGGTTACCAGGCACCAAGGTACATTTAAATATAGTTTTCACTGCTCTTCTAAAACAGCTCTACAATTGTTTTTAAAGATAGTCCTAAAGTCTTACAAGTTCAATTTTACCTGTTTGGCTTCATCAAAACAGACATCAGGACCTTTTCTGTATCTAGGGTGTTTGACCATTTCACAAGGATTTGGCCCTTCATCTGTTTCTCTGGTTAAGGAGCATGACTGGTTTTTCTGCATTGTACATTAGCAGGATTAACATTCTGGTTTTACTTTCATGGGAGAAGAGAAGATTTATGCTAATTCAGATAGTACTGAAATAAACATCGATAGTCACAGTTCCTTGTTTAAATTAAACCAAACCAAACCAACCCTCCAACCCTCCAGACAAATTGAAATCAAATATTCTTTTTTTTTCCACACTGCTTTAGTAAAGAAAATAAACAACCTGCATGAATTTTTAGAACCAGTACTTCCAGAACCATATACAAAATAAAAAATAAAAGCTGAGGTTTTTTAAGATTTTCTGTATTGCTTTTATTACCGTTGCATAAACACTACAGAAAATATTTGATAAAGTAGTAAGATTTCAATGGTGCTGATTGATTATAGCATATGTCACCATTGAGTTATTCTGCTAAAATGAAGATACCCAGCAAAAGCAAGGAAGCCTATTTGGAAAAGTAATGCTACATATATAGGCTGAAAATTTTAGTGCAGGCCTATGAGAACTACTGGGTTTATTATGTGTACACCTATATTACCCCAAGAATCATAGATAAGCTCATCCTACTGTAGGAGTTGATAGCAAATGACAGAAAACCTAATCAGATCTCATTAGCATTTCAGTGATGGAGACAGAGAAAATGGCATCCAAACTACCAGCGGAACAGCAGGACAGAAATGGGAGCAGTGACATGCTATTAATTAGCTAACTGTAAACATGACGTAATGCTTTAGCTTATGACTCTGAAATCTGTAATTGCTGATATTTAAATGTAAATGCTATACTTCACATTTGCCACAGGCTAAGAGGGGACACAAGCCATTGCAGCACACTTGAAAGGCACAGATATGGTAAACTGCAAAACCGTCTTCTGCTGAAACTTGCTTATATTACCATTCAGTATGTTAAAGGGTTTTTTATTCCGCTGTTGGCAGTGCACACATTAAAGCTAAGCTAGAGTGTTTTTAAAAAATTGAGCACCAAAACTTTACATACCTTAGTAGCTCGAAATTCTACTTGAAACAATTCTGTTCATGCGCTACTGTGGAGTACTACAGTAGCCTCATTGCAATGAGTGTGGATGGCCAATGGAAGAGAAAGCAAGAGGACAGGGAATTTAGTTCTACAGATCTACATCTGTCTTCATTCAGATGTTACCAGAGTCATCTCCCCTTTCCTCTGCCAGGGCCCAGCTGAAAGGGAAGTCAAAATGTAGAAATACTCTAAAAGATGATGTGCACAAGCAAAGCTGTACCAGCCAGGAGGAAGCAGAGTCTGATAATAACTATCTGAATAGCACCCAAAGGTCATTCTGTCTGCTTGTGTGATGTTACGCTACATCTGCATTTCACAATGTACCTTAGTTATAGGAAAGAGAGAATAGCTTAGTAGTGCATAGTTGGAACAAAAATAAAATAGTTCATCTAGTCAATATAAGCCCACCCAGCTGCTCTGGCTGCCATTTGAGGTCATTTACTCCTTTCTAGAAGGTTTGGGCCCCACAGGGAAATGCATGTGCCTATTTCCCATCAAACACGCTTCATTTTCTATAGCAAGTGCTGTCTATAAATTCAGACAGTGGCAACAGTTAATCAAACTGTCATGGACTGGAGCCAGTTAGAATATTAGGCTGTGTTTACATAGTTCTGTGATGACATGGATGTTGCTTCCACTCCAACGTAACTTCCTTTTCAGCCCAAGTGTAGATGGAATTCCAGTTGGATTAATGTGGCAATGAACACATTGCTTGTGCCAAAGAAACACAGTGATCTCTACCATCACATGCTTTTCTTTCAGGAGTGGGAGAGACTGTCTGAACTAACTTCCTGACATGGACAAAGGTATTACTAATTGTTTTCCATATTCTGTCATAATAATCCAAAGTATGATTTGATTTACTGTCTCTGGCATGCTCTCCTCAAGTATATAGAGCAGAGGAAAATTGAGGTGAATTTCATCTGGCCTAATACATGTGTGTGTTGAGTTTATCTATTTCCATCACCACCACCTACAGGTATCTACTGGACTGAACAGGCTAAAGGCATAGAGATTGGCTTGAAGGTAGTTGTAAATTAGAACAACCTTCCATTTAATTTTAATGCATGTGTTGAAAGGACTCTGCTTAGCATGTATGCCACCTATGTCTCCAGCCAGCTCTGAAGAAATTCTATGCTAGCAGCTGGATAAACTCTAGCCTCTGATGGTTAAAGCAGTTTACACAAAAAGCAAGCAGTTCTCACTGGCACTGAGCACACACTAAAGTGCCTTCATCACTTCACCTCAACATTGCAGGTATCAGTGCAGCATCCCAACTTTTCATGACCAAAGACTCTTATCTTCTTGTTGCCCATTTTTTTTTTTTAATTTCTCTAGACAAACATACCCTTGTCCTTTCTAAAGGCTGAACAAACCCAGGACTCTCAGGCTCCCCTTGCCTGTCCTGCGCTCCAGATGCCAACCACCTTAGTGGCCCTTCACTGGACTTCCTCCAGTATGTCAGTGTGGTACTGGGGAGCGCCAAACTGTACAGAGCACTCCAGATGTGGTCTCACCAGTGCTGAAGAAATGGGATGGATCAATTCCCCCAACCTGCTCACTACACTCTTGCTAACATAGCCCAGGATGTGGCCCTCTTTAATCACAAGGAACAGTGCCAACTGATGTTCACCTTCTTGTTCCTCATGATCTTCAAGTCCTTTTCTGCAAAGCTGTTTCTAGTCACTCCCTCCCCAGCCTGTCCAGCTGCATGTCATTACTCTGTCCTTGGTCCAAGACTTTGCATCTGCTTTTTTGAAACTTCATTAAGTTCTTGCGAGCCCATTTCTGCTTAGGTCCTCACAAATAACAGCTTTGCTCTCCACCTCAATGACTGCTGCCTCAGATGATTTGTGGTATCATCCAGAAATATCTGCTGCTTCAAGTACTCCAGTGGCAACCATGCTACTAACATGTACGTAAACAGGCCCTTTTTTTCCAAATATATTCCAGTATATCATAGCCAAAAATCAATCCACACTACTAAATAACATGATTTTAAAGGATACCCGGCTTCTCTGCTTGCATCAGTGGCTTTGGGTCACAGGAGCGGCACAGCAGTTGGCTGTCACTAATAATGAATACTAGATTGGTGTTTGAAATCTTCTCTGCATGATAAAGTCTGGAAAAAAAGCCAACAAAAATCTATGTTTAAATGAAGCAAGGAAATCCGTATTTGAGAACGACACACAGTATTGGAATACAAGTAATCCAACTTCATAGATTCAGTCTGCCTGCTACTGTTTATCTTTTCCATTAATGAACAGCAAGAAAGATTTATAACAAATTTTGTAATCTTTTTGACATTTCCATGGTTCCTTCTTTCAACTAGACTTATTAGTGGAAAAAATGGAAAAGAGCATAAAATGACTTTAATTGAGTTAATAGCTACTGCTACAATAGTAGCTGTACTGAGAAATAAAGTCAGTTCAGCATGAATTCTTCCCCTAAAAACACTGAGAAAACCCCCAACCACAAAAACAAACAAACAAACAAAACCCCAACACATAAACCTGTCTGTATGAAGGGTGAGAAAGAGATTTAGGGTATGTACGCCGTGCATTGGATGTATATTTGCTGTGATTTTATGTACATATAATTTCACAAAAGACCTTTAAGTTAGTAGGGTCATTTTCATTTCCCAGCATTATACCTTTAAGCTATAGATACTACACTTCATGCCTTAGATACTAAAGGTAAGGATATTTCTGGATTTTTTCAAGGATAATTTTCATATACAATTTAAAATTACTGGAAAGGTAGACATACATTCAAAAAAGCAGAGAAAAAAACTTAATATTTCTTAGTCATTAATAAAATACACTCTATCTGTCAAAAAGAGGTAAATTCAGGACAATCTAACAGGTTGATTGCTTTTAGTGGATTCTAAATACTCTTCATACACATATAAAATAACACGTCTTTTCATATAGCTGGTTACCACTTTATAAGCAGAGTTTTATTACTTAGGTGTGAATTGATTGGATTATTTCTGAAATTTCACAGATGATGAATTTGTACCACTGATTGGGTATAATAAAAGCACAAAATATCTGTTAATTAAATAACTGATGTTGTGATTACATAGCTGATTGTTTTAACCAGCTTAAACTGTCCTTTCATGCTCATTCCCGCACTGTGGCACTATTTTTGCAATATTAGCATAATAATTTCTGTAGCCTTTCAGTAAACTGAACTCAGGAACTCTTCTGAAAACCCTCCAGATTAAAAAGAAAAGACACAACCAAAACCCAAACCAAAAAACCCTACAAAAATCAAAAACAAACCCAAAAAACCCAGCTCAACAAGTTCTCGGCACAACCAGGTACCACACAAACACATACTAGCAACATGGAGGAGGAAGTATGGAAGTGGGAAAAAATATCTGTGTGTTTTGGCTGTATTCACCATTCTCCAATGTCCTCTGTTCCTGGCTTGAAATATCGTCTTCAAGGAGTTTGAAATCTCCTTTTGAAATGTTAATTTCAATTTCCAAGACATTTTCAGAAACTCTTAATGTATGCAAACTTTCAACCCAGCAGGTTTTTGTATGAAACACAGAACCAAGTCCAAGCTGCTATGTTTCTAAAGTATTCAATTTTTTTAACATAACATTAAACATCATCTTGAATAGGCACATGGAGCCTGAAGAGTAATTCTTTTAAACACAAAACAAAACAGAACTGTTTGCTTAATAAGACCTACAGCTCTTAAATCATGAGCATTATTGACTAGAAGGTAAATTTGAAAATAAATTGCATAATTTTCTTGACCATAAAAATTCCAATACATAACCAGATTAAAGAAAATCGTCTCCTGAGTATTGCAGAACACCTTTAAGTTCATATAATAAATTAAAAGGAAATAAATTTTAACAAGAGATAGAAATACAATTTTAATGGAGCATATACAGATGATAAAACAAAAATTTGGCTAAAATATCTCTATAATTATTACAATTAAAATTCATTCTAAACAAATACAAAGACAATGTAATTTATTGTTTTACTGCCTATATACTTCTCTGTCTTGCTTATGTAAGTTTGGTGTAACTAATCCAAAATATATTTTTTGTTCTTGATAATAGTGTCATTATCTTTTGTAAAATAAATGAATATCCAAAAGTTATTATTTACGTTGAAGAAATTTTACCTGGAGCAGTTTATACAGTCTACAATCCCACCAAAAGATTTATCATCATTTTCAAAGAAATATTGAGTTTGCTCAGTGATACAGCTTGTTTTAGGCAGGGCAGCACTGAAATCATCATCTTCCATATCAGCTGACAGAAAGAAAAAAAAATAAATAAACAATGACATTTTTAAGTCACAGACACAATGGGGAGATCCAAATATGGCCCCCAGTCTAGATTCTTACCTTCTACTTCACTCAAAGTTGACTCTTTAACATTCTCTTGACTTACCTGCTTCAAGAAAACGTGGAAAAGTCAAGCTCAAAAACAGCTGCTGTAAGATAGACCTGAACACAGAAAGACAATACATATTTGTTAAAGGCTATTTGTCTTCTTTGTATTTTAATGGATCCTTAAGAACTACTCAAATAAGACACGGCTTATTATGCTTTTGCCACTTATTAAAGTTGTGTTTCTTTAAACCTTACAGTTTGACTCTGGTTTTCTTTTCACACTTTCTCCCAGGTCATCTTTCACACTAATCTTTTATTTTACTGTTGAGATTTGCTATCATTTGTGCCCACAACTCACATAATGGAAATGTTATCATGCCATCCATGTCCTCTTTTTATACCTCTGCAGGAGGTGGAAGAGCCATATTGGTGTTCTTCTAATACTTAAGCCAACCAGAACTCCTTTTGAACACACTCAGGGAAAATGCTCCTGAATTAGATACTTCACACTGATTAAGGTTCATTAAATTCCTGAGGAGATGAACACTGGAATATTACAAGTATATTATAAAAATAATTACTGTAGCAGTTGACTTTTAAAATCATCTCTATTCCTGCTCTTGAGGTATGGAACTTATTTTCCTCCTAGATGCTGCCAAAACACTTGGGCTTAAAGAGGTCCATTTATTTCAAATTATTTTTCTTCACTCCTGATCATATTTTTCCTATTTTATATACCTGAAGCAAGTACTGGCTTGCCACAAATCTGGCCCCCTTCTCCTCTACCAACCTGCAAAAACAGTAATTGCAACAGTTGTATTCCTTGACCCCCTGCTTCTGCTTAAACGTTCCTAAGCTGTAGTTTCCTGTCATAATGTTTTATGTTTGTTTCTACCTACAAATATGACCTGATCTTTCCTCATCTCATTCTGCTCTAATGCCTGTTCTGCAGAGAGAAAGGACTGTAGAAGTTTATTCAGCCCCCAAAGTTTATTCCTTTTCTCCTTATCCAGCATGATCCATGTGTAAAGAAACTGAATCTGCCCATCTTCTTTCCAGCAGAGGCATTGCCTGAAGGAGCTCTGGATTCACACCCACAACTTTGTGCTTTGAATCATCAGATGGACAGCACACCATCTGTCATGGACGAGAAGAGACCTGATGCCATTCAACTGTGATGCAAAATAGTAATCTTTCGTCAGGGCTTACCGCAGAATTTACAGGGACCTGAGTAAAAAAGGCAGCCTGGGAAAACTGTAAAATCTTCTGAGTTAAAAGAGCATGAAGGAGAAATGCTACGTACTCTCTTAACCACACGCTGATGTAGCCCATATAAATTTTGAAAATTATCACTCATACCTTTATCCCATATTGTTGCTTGAAACACTATAGTTTTCTTTAATAACCTGGTTTCTCTTATTTCCCTGCATTTGCTTTTGCCAGGTGCCTCAGTGAATCCATTTTTGGTCAGCCCTTTTCACTCTGCGTGCTTAATGGCCTTCTCTGTCTGCTTCTGACCTAGATTCCATTAAAAATATGTCCACAGAAAGTACTTTCATGTGGAGCTTTCAAGTTAAACATCACACAAAATAAACCTCAGGTCTAAATTGAGCCCAGACCACTGAGTCTGATTTGAACACTGATAAACTAAAGCTTCTCTGTTTGAGAAGAGCTCAAGTTTCTCTTCTGGATTATTGCCCATTGCCAGTTTTTGAGGTTTGCTGTTGTCAAAGAAAACAGTTTTTTGCTGTTGCTGCTAACGAAATGTAACCAACAATAAAAACCAACATACAATCTTCATAGTGCATCTGTGAGAAAATTACTACGTCTGTTCAGCTGCTATATATTTTAACTCTTATCTTCATAAGGTAGGTAATGTATTCCAGCTTGATAATAATTATAAAAAAATAAGCATAATGAAACTTTAGAAAAAGGAACAGTCTCCAAGGGTGCAACTCGCACCAATGCAAAAGCATCACATCAGTCCAAATTACTTATCCCAATGTGGAAGTAGCAGACAGGGGTGTCTATCTACATGGCTCTGAAATAGGTAGAATTATTTCTGTGGCTATTATTAATAATGCACAAACCAAAGTCAAAAGAAAAGGAAACTCCTAAATGGATCTTTAGTTTTAAAATGTTTCCAGTATTCTGACTGTGAAAGATAAAACCTAACTACTAGTGCAATCCTGCCTCTCTCAAGGTCAATCCCAAAACTCCGTAACAGTCCAAATATACCAACTTTTCCCCTCAGCTATAGAAAATGCTACTACAACGACTATAGAGTTATCCAAAGTGCTTTATATGTATTTGCTTCCTTGAAATAGTTCAGTGGTGCTTGTCACACTCCATTTCAAAGAGCTAACTAACAATTATAATGAGAACCTTTAACTGAACTGTGCCATCAGGTAACACACTGGTTATCCTGCAGTCTGAAGCAGGACCTCTTTACAGTTTGTATTACAGAAGCTTCTTTGCTCACAAGCTAGTGGGGCTTATTGACAGAGCTTTAAACTAGACTTGAAGGGGGAAGGGGGTAGTATCAGGCTTGCCCATGGCAAGCTGTGGGATGACATGCCATGGTTAGAGAGACAGGGTGCCAGTGAGGGCCCCTCAGCCTGTTGCTCTGAGATGTGCTGGCTACACTGCAGCACACAGTGTCTTAAGGAGATGAGCCAGGGACTCCTGAGGTAATAGGAGCCTACATGGAAACAACAGTGAAATACCTTAAACGAATTAAGGGGTGTTCCTCTAAGAAGGTGAAACAGCCGACAGCCCAGCTGAAGTGCCTCTACACCAACGCACACACCATGGGCAACAATCAGGAGAAGCTGGAAGCCATCATGCTGCTAGAAAGCTACGACCTAGTTGCCATTACTGAAACTTGGTGGGACAAATCCCATGACTGGAGTGCGACTATTGATGGCTATAGGCTGTTCAGAAGGGACAGGCAAGGAAGGAGGGGTGGAGGCGTTGTCCTCTGCATCAAGAAACGAAAACAGTGCGAAGAGCTGTCTCTGAACAGCAGTCACAAGCAGGTTGAAAGATTATGGGTAACAATCAGAGACCAAGGCAAGAAAGGGAATCTTGTGGTTGGTGTTTACTACAGGCTGCCTGATCAAGGGGAGCCTATTGACGAAGCCTTCTTACTCCAGCTACAGGAGGCATCGTGCTCGCAGGCTCTCTTCCTGCTGGGGGACTTCAACCACCCCTACGTCTGCTGGAAAAGCAGCACAGTGAGCTGTAGGCAATCCAGGAGACTCCTGGAATGCATTAAGGATAAGTTCTTAAGCCAGGTAATAGAAAGCCCTACCATAGGGGATGTGATACTGGATCTGTTGGTCACCAACGCACGTGAACTAATCGGTGACATCAAGACCGGAGGTAGCCTGGGCTACAGTGATCATGCACTAGTGGAGTTTGCACTCCTGAGGCATATGGGAGTAAACTCAGGACCCTGCTATTTAGGAAAGCAAAATTCCAGCTCTTCAAGGAGTTAGTCAATAGGACCCTCTGGGAAACTGCGCTCAGGGACAAGGGAGCAGAACAGAGCTGGTAGATCTTTAAGGATGCATTCCATAGAGTACAAGAGCTCTCAATTCCCAGGTGTAAGAAATCAGGAAAGGAAGGCAATAGACTGGCATGGATGAGGCAAGATCTGCTGGTCAAACTAAACAGCAAGAAGGAAATGCACAGGCAGTGGAAGCAAGGACAGGTATCCTGGGAACTGTACAAGGACGCCACCCAGTTGTGTAGGGGTGGGATCAGGAAGGTCAAGGTTTGGCTGGAGCTGAACTTGGCAAGGGATGCAAAGAATAATAAGAAGGGCTTCTACAGGTACGTCAGCCAGAAAAGGAAGGTCAAAGAAAACGTCCCCCCTCCGATAAGCAAGACTGGCAAAGTGGCAAGAATAGACAAGGAGAAGGCTGAGGTACTCAACAACTTTTTTGCCTACAGTCTTCACTGGTAATCTCTCTTCCCACACGTCTCGAGTGGATGGATCACAAGATGGGGACTGGAGGAGCAAAGTCCTTCCCACTGTAAGAGAAGATCAGGTTCATGATCACCTGAGGAACTTGAACATACATAAGTCTATGAGACCTGACAAGATGCATCCCAGAATCCTGAGGGAACTGGCAGATGTAGTTGTCTAGCCACTCTCTGTGATATTTAAAAAGTCATGGCAGTCAGATGAAGTCCTCAGCGATTGGAAAAAAAGGAAACATTTCGCTCATTTTAAAAAGGGTAGAAAGGAGGACCCTGGGAACTACCGACCTGTCACCTTGACATCTGTGCCTGGGAAGATCATGGAACAGATCCTCCTAGAAGCTATGCTAAGGCACATGGAAGACAGGGACGTGATTCAAGACAGCCAGCACAGCTTCACCAAAGGCAAGTCCTGCCTGACCAACCTAGTGGCTTTCTATGATGGAGTGACCCCATTAGCGTACAAGAGAAGAGAAAAGCTACAGATGTCTGGACTTCCGTAAGGCCTTTGACACAGTGTGTGTCCGCCCCCCCACACATTCTTCACTCTAAATTGGAGAGATATGGATTTGATGGATGGACTGTTTGGTGGATGAGGAACTGGCTGGATGGTCACATCCAGATGGTAGTGGTCAACAGCTCAATGTCCAGATGGAGATCAGTGACAACTGGTGTCCCGCAGGGGTCTCTATTGGGACCAGTACTGTTTAGTTATCTTCATCAATGACACAGACAGTGGGATCAAGTGCACTGTCAGCAAGTTTGCAGATGACACCAAGCTGAGTGGTGTGGTTGACATGCTGAGGGACTGGATGCCATCCAGAGGGACCTAGACAAGC